AAAATAAATAAATAAAAATAACATAGAAGAGGGAGTACTGTTCTCCTCATGATTCATTTAGCCACGTAATCACGGAATATCATCACAGAAAATTAACCGTTATTTATTGTTCCCAATGTTACGGTGTATTATAATTATCTGGACTTACAATAGCATAATGTTTATTTTCTCTCCCTCTAAAAATTCCAGTAAAGAATCAAATACAGGATAAAAAACGCCTAAAGTAAAACATAATTTGATCTCTCTTATTCTTCTCAAATTGGCTTTGATGAGCGCCAAACTTATCCCTAAGCCAAGAAAATTTAACATTAAAAAAAATATTATAAAAATTTTAGCATATAGTTTTGCCAGAAATGCACCATCCTATCTGACAGAAAAAATGGCAACATCACTTAATCTTCGATTGCGTTCTACATTATTTCATTCAACAAACATTGGGTGGGTTGTGGCCTGAATTTCGGACGTCAGAAACAATGAACACCTGAAAAATTGTTACTTTAGGGACATTCATGCACTTTTCTGGAATGATTATAAAACGAAAAAAAAATGGCTGCAAAATATAATTGTGTGAAGTAATTGAAAACATATTTATTAATTACAGATTTTATTCTAGACTTGCTAGAAATAATCACATAATTACATTTCCTATTGCTTTATGTCATGATTTTTATCCTGACTATATGTGAGATTTTTACTTATTTTAGCACTATATGTTTTAGTAAAAAATATCATGTTTATATGTATATACAACGTCATTAAATATAGTTATGGAACTATGCATTTAATGAACAATATTTTTATCCCCCGCGGTGCGCGGGCGGTGTTGATCGCAATGCAATTTCCAGTGCAGCGCCTCCGAGTCTGCAACATTTTCGTTTACGGTCTTATTTCAAAGACCCTTACGAGAGCGACTCCCAAAAGAAAAGCATGCATTAAAATTTGAAACAATATTTACATTAAAAATTAGCTTAAATGAACTTTTAAAGCATAAGGATAATTTGACTACAACTTAATTCATGCTGAGTGTAAACATGTAAACATTAGGATTATACAAAAAAAACTTGATGAATTATAAATTGTTTGTTAATGACAAGTGTCGCGATGCACTAAAATGTTGCAAATTACATCATATATATTCAGAAATACGTCAGAAATACTTATCTTGTTCACAATTCAAATATTCGTATATCTAAAATGACTAAAATGTTGCGAAAATGAACTGAAGTGCCACGTTAATTACATTCCGTCTCAGCGTCGTTACGTTAATTTGTTCAGCAGCTATTGAAACCATATAGGGAGTTTTTAGACTATAGACAAATCTTTTAAAAGGTCAGAAATATAATGAATAAATATGATAAGTGACTATTTTCGTTTGATAACAGACCCCAGACAACTTTCAGAAGCTATTTTAGATTTGTCACAAAGTTGTCTGGGGTCTGTTATCAAACGCTAATAATTCAAATTGTCTATTATTTTTAAACGTCTGTGGTAAACAAACCGAGCCTGAAACATTTTCAATCTTGCCATTTTTGAGCGTTCTTTTTTTTTATTTTTGATCTGGATATGGGTCCTACTCTTACCTCATTTTGATATTTGAAAAACGTCCACAACCACTATAAGAAATATGGAAATATTGTTGTCGTTCCATCTAGTCGGTTAAAAAAATGATGAGAAAACTTAACACATGCACGTGACTGCTTTACACCGAATTTATATTGAGTTCATCAGACGTTCTAAAACTTTGGTGAGGAGCTAGGTAAGTATTGAATGAATATCATGTTTTTTCTTTGTTGTCTTTTGTTTGGTTAGTTATTATTGCTGTTAACATAGGTAAGTCTTATTTGACAATTTTATTTATATAGAATTAAATGAGACAGTGAACTTTACATAATATTATATCTTTGCCCATATAAACTCAAATGAAATATTAACGTATGTTTTCGGTTTTTTATTTCGATGTTATAAAGTCCAGTTTTCAAGACAAAATAAAAAAACACACTACTTCTTAAGTAGTTCAAATGCGTCTAGACAAGCAAAAGTTACATCTGGAAACATAATGAAAATAGCTTTTTACAAAATCATAGCTTATACTTGAAGGATTTCAGTACTCAGCGGTTGTCATAAGGGGGGCACTACGACAATTGAGCGCTACAATCTGTGAACTCTTTGAAATATGTCAAACGATATGCTGGACTATCAGTGATTTTGTTCCTACATAAATCAATAGTTTTGAGAAAAACGTTTCCGGAGATTCGTCATATTTCTTGCCTGCCGGTGAGTAATTTGATATGTGTTTCTGAATGTAAGTATCATAACTAAGAGTTACAGACATTCCGTCACCCAAACTTCTTACGTGGTGGACACATCTTATTTCTCCTCCAGCAATGTTCAAACTTAAACAATCTACTGCCTTGCTCCTACACATCCATATTTCTGTTTTAGAAATATTCACTTTCAAATTAAATTATGCCTTAGAGTACTCTTCTAATATATATGATTTAAGTAATTACAAAGTTGAAAAACAAGCTTTTTAATTACCCCTGATACATGATGGTAATACAGCACAAAATGATTAACATTATACTAAACTGCCATGCAGTAGTGTGACGTATTTCACAGAGTATAAATACAAATAGCATGCTTGCATTAATGACCCGGTTAATATGTTAGATTCCGTACAAACATACAGACGACCAAGTTTTCTAAAATAATTTGTTTACCATTATGTAAATGACATAAAACAATAAGGCTTTAAAGAAATATATGTTATATTTTATTAATGTAAATGTTTAGATACCATTTACAAAATATGAATATATTATTCATCAACTATGATATGTAATTATTAAGTCATATAACAATCAGCACCAGAATTCTATCACTACATTGAGACGTCCATATATCTCTTGTTACAACATGTGTTTGTTTCTTACCCAGATAACAAAAATATAGATTTATCATATAAATGAGTTAATATGATAAATTCTAACACGACCCGCATTTTTCCCTATTGAACATAGAAGAACCGAAAGTGTGTGTTATTATGCAACAGAGTCACAGTTTGACGTTCTATATTTAGACATGTGACGTAATCATTATACACGTGACGTAACCACCAAAAATCCAACGCGCTGAAAATAAGTACGGAAACAAATCAGGCGCAATTTTGCTTAATATCAGGTACGGCAGCATTTATTTGTTGATGTCGTGTTAGAATCGAAATAATATATCCAAATCGGTGATTTTATCGCTTGATAACATCACTGTTTGTCGTTCGGATGCGCATCATTATATCACTCGGGCTACGCCCTCGTGATATAATTCCTCGCATCCGAACTCCAAACAGTGATGTTATTGAGCGATAAAATCACTGTTTGGGATATATTATTTCTTAAATAAGACATGATAAAAAGAAGACAGAGTAATTAAAAGACATATTTCAATGCAAGCACAATTTAAAAAACAACAGTTTTTACAGTCTTTTGTCTCCATGCCTATCCATATATCATTTGTATACACGTATATATAAGTAAACAATTCAATAATTCATTATATTCCAACACAAGGTCGTATAATAAACATTTTATATATTTGTACACAATGTATACATGTATATTCTGAATGCAGTTTTTATGATCAATTTCAACAGTATAAAATGATATGTTGTGGACAAATTACCAGACCCGCTGGTAGTTTGGTTATTAAATCATTCCTCCAACTTATAATGGAAATTTCCTTATTATAAGCAGGTCAAATCAATTATACAAATTTAGGAATGTCCTTGTCAAATACCTTGGATTGGTATAAAGTGTTTGTATTTTGCTATTATATTTTGGTATTATATTATTATACTATATTATTCTGAATTGTAATACTATAAATATCTACATGGTTCACAAAATCATCAACTAAGAAATAGCTATGTCAAAAACTATGATTATTTGATATTTTACCCATGTAATTGTGAGCCTGCCCAGCTCTAATGGAGTCATCTAATAAAATGCACAAGAATATTTAATATTGCCTGTGATATTAGAATGTTTTATCTAATTTCATAATCACAAAACACAAGTGATAATAACAAGAATCTAACTTTAAAATGAGATAAAGTTTATATTTACTGAAAAGAAACAAAATTTCTATTTCATAATGAATTAAACGAGCCAGATGTGACCAAAGCTGGCGCCACATGATGAATTTATATACAACATTATCATTGATGTCATGGAAATCTTTATCTGCTATGCATTTTTCCTTCGCTATTTCTTTGAAATGGAATTGGAAGCAAATTCTATATCTCATTATGAACAATGTTGTATAACTTATATATGACTGATATGTTTTTTTAATAATAAAAATTAGATAAAAACAGACATACAAAGCATCTGAAACAATGTTGTACAACAACCTGTTTTAATTAAACATCAATTAAAAGTATATTCACATGTGTATACAGATCAACTTTTACTGTCATACCTTTACATTAATAAAAAAGATATGTAAATATTTGACCACTTGGCAAGAATAATAAAATTAAGATAAAAACAGACATACAAAGCATTTAAAACAATGTTGTACAGCAAATAAAAATACTCAACTATTGTATACTTTCACAAATTATATATACACATTAAAAACGTGAGTAAAATTTAATAAGTACACATTAAAAATGGGAGAAAAAATGTATTTAAGTACACATTAAAAAGCTGAGAAAAATTGTTTAAGTACACATAAATAAGCTTAGAAAAACTGTTTTTAAGTACACAATAAAAACGTTTGAAAAGTTGTTTAAGTACACATTAAAAACGTGAGTAAAATTGTATAAGTACACATTAAAAATGGGAGAAAAATGTTTTTAAGTACACGTTAGAAAGTTGAGAAAAAATGTTTGAGTACACATTAATAAGCTTAGAAAAATTGTTTTTAAGTACACAATAAAAAGGTTTGAAAAATTGTATAAGTACACATTAAAAAGCTGAGAAAAATTGTATAAGTACACATTAAAAAGGTTTGAAAAATTGGATAAGTACACATTAAAAAAGTGATAAAACTGTTTAAGTACACTTTAAAGACGTGAATAAAATTGTATACCTTATTTTAATATGTTCAGATAAATCAGCAATGAAATAGAATTTCTTGAAACAAAATTAAACAGCAAAACTTAACATTTTTTTTGCCTTATACAACTATCATATACAATTTTAATAACAAAATCTGAACACTGTTAACAGGAAATATCATATTACAACATTCATATAAACACTCATACAATAAGTTCACATTTCAACATGAGCATTTTGGAATGTTTTTAAGAAATTATGCATTGGTGTGATCATTGAAAACATCACTGTCAGGGAACGATAATTCCCCATTTGATGGCAGAGTCCTCTCTAATCCATTCTGACCCTCGGTCGAGTCCAATTCTTTACTGACCTCATATAGAGGGTTTGTAAAAGCACCTGGGGCTGTATCACCGTTAGACATACCTTTACTATAGAATGCTTTTCCATTCTTTCCCAGCATCATATTATCATTTTCTCCCGCTGATGTCACATCATTAGAAGATGTTGGCTGCAGGTTTAAATCATATAACTGATTACTGGCAACCACTGTGCCATCTAATTCTCGACTTATTACAGAATCATCAAATCTTTGTCTAGAATATCCCGGCATTTTTCCACGTCTATATCTAAGCACTATGAGGGCCGCTATAACAATAATCAATAAAACAACAATCAAAGGAACAGCTATCACAACACCGAGGTTAGCTCTTGATGTGGAGGACAGAGCAGATGATACTGTTATGTTTAAACTGCTACTTGTAGATGGTGTTGTTGCTGCAGTTGTTGTTGAAGACTGGGGTGTTGATGTTGTTTTCTTTTCTGTTGTTGATGTTGCTTTCTTGGTTGTTGTTGCTGTTGAGGTAGATTTTGTTGTGGTCGGTGGTGTAGTTGTTGTTGGTGGCCTCCTTGATGGTGTCACTGTTTGTGGAGTTGTTGTTGTTCTTGTTGTTGTAGTGGTGGTTGTTTGTTTAATTGTTGTTGTTGCTTCTGTTGTTGTTGTAGGCCTTTTTTCTGTTGTTGATCTGGTACTTATTGTTGTGACAGCCGTTGTGGTTGGTGGAGATTCTGTAAGATGAACAGTTTTGTTATGTACCATTTAAGTTTAATACATAAAGCACAAAAACATAAACTGCTAATATCATTAACATTGTGTTTGAGTTAAAAGTTCAACTGACAGTGATTTTATGATCATCAAATGAGCCGCTCCATGACAAAACCAACATAGTGGGTTTGCGACCAGCATGGATCCAGACCAGCCTGCGCATTCGCGCTGTCTGATCAGGATCCATGCTGTTCGCTTACAAACCCTATAACAAGTAGAGAACAGCATGGATCCTGATCAGACTGTGCAGATGCGCAGGCTGGTCTGGATCCATGCTGGTCACAAACCCACTATGTTAGTTTTGTCATGACGCGGCTCAAATGATGATTTAACAGCTACACATAATGTGGGAATAAACCTCATGCTCATTAGTTTATACAAACTTATTTTAGTTCGATTGTGTTGGAAGCTATAAGCTTATTGAAACACTCTCAAATCCGTTCCTGGATCCAACCAGTACTAAGCAATGAATGTAAAGTTTCTTGCTAAAGGAAACATGCTCATTGGACCCTCAGCGGTAACACTTTCCACTAAAAATGCTTATAATCTAAATTGGACTTGCCCATCTGTCAATCTGGACAAAACTCTTCATTAAGTCAAACCTGTGAATTGAGGCCATACAGAGACCATACATGGCCTTTATAGGCAAGTGGTTTTAATTCAGAGTTAACTTAGTTGTATTTTCATCACTGAAGGTTTGTGGAAGATTGTTCTTTATTTGTGCTCTTTATTCATAAGAAGTCTTTAACCCAGGTCTGACTGTATTTGGTAACCCAGGTCTGACTGTATTTGGTAACTGAATAACGAACAGTGTGCGAGGACAAAGATGTGCCAGCTTATTTTGGACTGCACTAGTCTCATGGGTAGATTTTAAGTAAATACCAATGTACATATATATGATTCCTATATGACATGAAGCTAATGAATAAAATTTTATGACTACTTCCAGTGATGTATTATAAATTACAGAACAGTTTATATAATATAATTTAAGTTAATATTCTGATATCAAACTTGTTATCTAAAAATTATGAATTATTTATTTCATTTTACTTCATAGAAATTATTTAAAGACTCTTCAGAATGATTATATAAAATGTTGTTATCCAGCGTAATACATGATAATGATAAAACTGTTTCATACCAAGACAAATGACACCAACATCTTCTGTATGGTTACAGTTATGTGTTCCTATTCCTCGATGTGCACATTCATATAATGTACTCTCATTACCACGGCATTTCACATTGTCAAACCATATTGGACCAGTCCCTTTAAAAACATGAAATAAATATATTGTAACTATAACAGTAACTATACAGTATTGTATATTTTAGCAGCGAATTCACTTTTCTTACAAACAGAACAGTTGCATGCCAACAGTCGCATGATATAATATCATAATCTACACACTAATAGAGCATCAATATGAATTAACAGAAATATTTACAGTTTGATAAAACCTAGGAACATTTCATTTGAAGCTCAAACGTTTTATTGCTCCCTTTTCATGAAAAGCATTGATACTCAATTTTGAATCTTGAAAAAGAGTCTCTGCACTGTAAGACTTGGTCTAAAAGTAAAAAAATTAGCATGATTAACAAAGGAAAATAGGCAAGAATTACATTTATACATTACCTGCACCAAAAGCTGCTTGTCTGACGGCAGTACCACCATAATAACCAAGTTGTCTGCAGACGACAATAGCGTCATTTTCATCCCAATAATCATCACATATAGTCCCCCAGGAATTCGCTCCTGTTACATAAATTTCTACCCGCCCACTGAAGTTATTACGGCCATTAACAAGACGTACATTTGTTGCCTCTGTAACATAAAAACAAAATAATGTACTCCCTTTTTTTCTTATTTTTATACTTTACTCTAAATAACAGGTACAAATTTAATGATAAATCACCTTTTGAGTTTATGGTTAAATTGCAGGTAAACATAAACATACGTGCATACATTTGTGTGGGTTGCAACTTGCAAAGGTAAAGCTTTCATTTAAGTAAACTTAGTAAAACAGCTAGGTCTTTGATAAAGCATTTATTTCGCAATCTGTTGACTTAGTTTGGTTTTGTTATTTTTTGGTAAAATTTATTTCTATGAAAACACAGTGATGGATAGGTTACAGAATAATATATCTTTCTTACAAAACAAGAGCGATCAGTAATCACATGTGTCGCCTCATGATGGCCGATTTCATGTTGGGACAAATTTTGTGACAGACGGACAGACAGACAGACAGTGCACAACTAGACTTGGTACTGATCATTCCTGTAAAGTTTGGATAAAATTCTACCAGTAGTTTATGAGGAGTAGTCCGGACAAGCTTTTGCGTATCTGGCAACACACAGAAAAACAACACCTTTTTATCAAAGGGCCATAACTCAGCCAAAAATCATTCAACCGGAAAACCCGTGCAATATGCACAAGCACTTGAGCTACAGATCAATCCTGTAAAGTTTCATTGAAATTGCATTAGTGGTATAAGAGAAGTAGTCCGGACAAACTTTAAAAATAAAAATTATTAAAGGGCCATAACTCAAACAAAAATCATTGAACCGGAAAATGCTGACAATATGCACAACTAGACTTGGTACTGATCATTCCTGTAAAGTTTGGATAAAATTGCACCAGTAGTTTATGAGGAGTAGTCGGGACAAGCTTTTGTGTATCTGGCAACACACAGAAAAAGAAACCTTTTTATCAAAGGGCCATAACTCGGCCAAAAATCATTCAACCGGAAAACCCTTGCAATATGCGCAAGGACTTGAGCTACAGATCAATCCTGTAAAGTTTCATTGAAATTGCATTAGTGGTATAAGAGAAGTAGTCCGGACAAACTTTAAAATTAAAAATTATTAAAGGGCCATAACTCTGACAAAAATCATTGAACCGGAAAATGCTGACAATATGCACAACTAGACTTGGTACTGATCATTCCTGTAAAGTTTGGATGAAATTGCACCAGTAGTTTATGAGGAGTAGTCCGGACAAGTTTTGTGACGGACGGACGGACAGACAGACAGACAGACAGATGGACAGACAGACGACGGAGAAGTGATCCCTATATGTCGCCACTACTCTGTAGAGGCGACACAAAAAGGCTGGAGAGAGAAATTCTAGTTATTGCTTTTCTTAGAGAATATAACTTAACAGCTATACATGTAACATTACAAAATGAAAAAAAAAATCAAACTTAATGCTGCATGTATTTTAGATATTTTTGATGCATGTTTGTTTGAAATTAACTATCAGAAATTAGAACATCTGAGCTCACCAACTTTCTCCTTGTAGCAGTTACTGTAAGCCCCAGAATCTCGACCACCCATACACAGGTCAGTGAGGAAAGTTGAGTTAAAACCTGTATTAAGACAGGTCATTGGTGTTTCCTCATTACCCTGACAGAAAAATCCAGTCACCCAAGGTAAGCTGTATGACAGTGACCTGAAATTATATCATAGTTATATTGTTGTATCTCACATCTGTGATTCTTCTTAAATAGTAATAGGGAAACAGGTAGCTGTGTAAAGGTAAAGGATACAGAACTGTAATTATTAGGTTCCTGATGTAAAGACGGTCATACTGTACCGGTGTATATATTTTCTTACCTTGTGATTCATTGCCCTTCACTATAAGAACACGAAGGTTAATGCTGAGATCAGCTGACATATGACAATTCAATCTTTTAAATTGATGTTTATATAATTTGAATTAGGCAAAGCTCTGATACATAATAAAGCAAATGTTAATAAGTATAACAGATACAATTTATAAGAACATACACAAGAACATTATATACCATTTGAGAAATCTTTTAGAGTAAATATGTATGAATTAGATTTACTTGTAAAGTTCAATCAAATAAATGGATTATTATGGTTTGGAATTAGTTTAAACATAATTACAAAATGTATTTTATTTCTCAGAATATATGTTACAATTTACAATATACTCAAAACATTTCAAATAGTCTTAAAAAAACAGGATTAGAATGAAAGACAAAGTGTCTTATGAACATGTTTCCCTGGAATCAACAATATATTCATATTTTATATCAATATAAAATAAAAACTTACTTATTCACAGTGTATTCAACTATTCCATCTACGTAACCAAGAGCTTTACACAGCACTCTAGCATCAGCACTCTGCCAAGACCATGCACAAACCATGCCCCATCTACCCTCATACCCTATCTCTACACGGCCAGTAGATGGACTTGAACCTCCAACCAACCGATAATTAAATCCAACGTCATCTGTAACAGGTATAAAAATACAAAATATTACACTTAGAGAGAGATTCAATTTTTTTATATATTTTTTTTTTAGTCAATGCGAGGAATATGGTACATTGTATAACAATTTTGTGTTTGAATAAACTTTTCTATGCTGGATTATAAGGATTACTTGCATATTTATATCTTAATTGAATTTCTAGAGACCATTCATAATAACCAATTATTCTTATATTTTATACATGTCAACATAAAAAATGATGTCTTTAATTTTCTGAACAAAAGCAGTAATGCCTTTATAATCAATACAAGACAAGACATGCCTAAACTTCAATACAGTAATACCTAAATATATAATTATCCTGAAAATCTATTCTGTTAGCTAATCAATTAAAAATAGACATTTATTAAATTCAAATTAGAATATTTCCAGTACATAAATGTTGTAGGAAAGCTGATCATTTAACATCAAATACTTACTTTTCTTGCGATAGCAAATAACACCAGCATCATTAGAAGCATAGTTACAGTTTTTCAGGTCAGGACTCATCTTCTTGCTAGGACATGACCAAAATGAGGTCTCGTTGCCTGAAAATATATTGAAATTATTTCATTCGTTTACTTTTTCTTGTCTGTAGTTTATTGTTATAATTTTTCTACAAGTAAACATGAGTAATTTCACCATGATTTCTTGTCAGTTCTTTTTTTTATAAATTCAATAATAAAAGAGATGACTGGCACCTCGGGTAGCTATATGCACCTCAGTTAATTACATGCACCTCTCTTTATAAATCTTACATTATATATTCATTATATTTACTTTATGGACATAAAGAAAACTGTAATTAAATTTACATGGAATATTATTCAACTGTCTTTATGTGAAACATACTATCTACATGTAGCTAGCTTAACAAGGTTGAAAGTGTGACACATGTGCCAGATCATCTTTAAAATGAAGCACCTTGAAGGGATACTAAATCTCCCTAAATAAGAAAATTATTTCAGAAAATGTCATATGACATACAGAGTAAGCCCAAATAAAAAATGAACAAAAAACAAAAAAATCTTTTATTTTTTTATGAATACATGTATATACCACCAAATAGAATAGAAGTACTGACCCAAACACTGGACATCCCTCAGCAGGACAGGTTTGTCATTTTTCATGATATGTAAATAAGCCACGCCCCCATCATATCCGAACTGTCTACAAGCTACAGCAGCATCTCTATCATCAAAGTTATGTAGACACACCCTGCCCCAGATCCCGTTAATCTGTACCTCAATTATACCATGTAGATCACTAGCTAAAGTGTCCGGAGCAAGACGCACCTTATATCCTGTAGTGAAAAAAAATCTAAACATAAGAACTTGTCCGTCATTGACTGCCTTTAATTTTGATGTTAATTATTTTTCAAACAATCTTCACATTATTATATACTTTCTTCACAATAATTAAGATAATCACTAATAAGCTTAAGTGTTGTACATTAGAGAATATTAGAGAATCTGATTATTTTACACCAAAATCTATTCTGAAAGTGAATTTATTTGGTTCACATAGTATGATAAAAATTAATTTTATGTATATTTCAGTATTAATTTTTTCACTTGTATATTTAAAACATTGTAGTGGTATTGTCAATTTAGAATCCTGAACAACTATGTCATTAGTTACCACTGAAATGCTAGAGCATCAATATAATATTTATTTTATGAACAGTTGAATCAGTGGCTCATCCATGAAACACATACATGTACAAGGTCAGGCCAGCTTGCAGTCTGTGCAAAATTCTATACAATTCACTGCTAAATTTCAATTTCACTATTATCTAGGAAATAAAGGTAGTACTACAGAAAAATTAAAATATGAACCTGTGTCTATAATAGTCTTGTTACTGCAGTAGACAGATATATAATGACCACTCTTGCATGTTGATGTAAAATTCATCGGACAGTCCGTTAAATCTGCCTCATCTCCGGAACATCTTACATTTGAAAATCCAATCACTCCAGACAGGTTCCCATAAGCTGAACCTATGTTGTGAATGAAATTGTCAATTTTATTTTAAAATAATAATAATGTTATAGCATGATTATATTATTAATTTAATGATAATTATATAATTCATAAAATGATTTTATTTTATAGTTTCACCGACAATGTAAAACGTTATATGGTAGCTTTCCAGCCCATTGGTAAAGGAAGTCCTCAGATACCCTTCCATGCATTATTTGAGGCACAAGCCTACACCTGAGTTAATTACCATCAAGTAATCTCATACATGTGAACTCTCCCACTTTTAGCGGGAGACTCCCACTTTCTGCAACCATATTTTCAAAGATTTTTCTTAAAATAAGGGGTATTTTCACAATTTAAAGAAATCTCCCTCTTTTTTGATACCAGAACTTCTTTCTTTGTTTATTGCAAATTCTAAAATCTCCCTCTTTTTGAAGTAAATCTCCCACTTGATCATCAAAAAAAGTTCACATGTATGTAATCTACCTGATAAAAAAATCTCAAAACCCCTGACAATCTTCATATTCTCAGCAATAAACTATAATTCTTGTATGTTTAAAAAACAAACTTCCAATTTATTACTTTTCATGGCAAATCAAATCAATTATCAATATAATGCTAATATCAATGACAATTAATTAAGTCTCACACGTAATTATGCCATTTAGAAAAATGAGCAAATAACTTTAAAGAATAAAACTAATCAAATGAAATTATATATTAGGTAAATTATATTTTTAGTATATCTATTTTACCTGGGATAATTTGAGCATCTATGAATTCCTTTTTAATACTTCTACAAGCCACTCGTGCAGCTTTCACATCGAAATCTGTGTCACAAACACCATACCATGTATTATCTCTGTGAATTTCTAGACCCCCAGCAAACACATTAGGTCCAGTGTTAAGACGCACTGAAACATATATATTTATATTTAGAAAATTTTCATGCTGTTATATATTGCTGTTATAATAATTTTCAACATATGCATGCATTATAAGGAGCATCTCTGCATTGTGCTTTGACTTCTCTTACAATTTTGTTAAGATTTGAAAAAGGGAAAGAAACAGGACAAATATAAAATTATTTGCAAACACATGAAAGTATGTTTCATCAAATACCCATGAATAAATATGTACCATCCCTACATCAGGCTGATTGTATTTTATTATATCATTATTGTGATCACATTTTTTAGTCAGTCTGACACTATATTTTTTAATTAAGGTCATAAAACAATTTCCCAGCTTTTACTGGTGGAGTAAGAATTCATGCAAGTGCCCCTCTGTGCATAAAATGGCACCCTGAACAGAAACACTCATGTTTCTTATGCTAGCTGAATAGGGCTGATTTCTTGCTCACATATCGTATTAACAGTGTTATAATGGTATGAAACTATATATATCATAAATGATGTAATACATGAAATAGTAATTAAATTCTTTTGACCTTGAACAAATGTGAACAAACATTTATCATAAATCAGAAGAAAAAACAAACAAAAATCCATGTAAGAAAGGTATATTCTATAAAAGACTAATCTGTGTAACTACCTGATTTATAGCAGTAAACCCCAGCATCATCGTTATGTGTTTCACAAGGCAAGGGGAACCACCAATCAAATGAGAATTCATTAGCAAACCCTCGATGAGGACACTGATGAAGTTGATCTTCATTTCCTGTACACTCCAAATGACTTATCCATATTGGACCTGTCCCTCGACCAAAATGTGCGTCACCTATCGCCTCACCGTCCGTAAAATTTAACTGTTTACAGATGACTTTAGCTTCCCGCTTGTCCCAATATTGATCGCAAACTGTACCCCATGTACCACCAACAGAAACCTCAACCCGCCCATAATGAACATCACCACCCCCAAGTCTGTACTCTATACCTGTAAGTAGAATGGTGGATACAAAGTCTGCTGAAAATATTGGCCCTTTGGTATTGCTAAAATGTTGTTTTTTGTTGTTATTTTTCAAATAATCAATCATATAATAATAGTTTTATATCCTAAACAGTATTTTGTATCAAGATGATTAAGAAGACAATTTTGACTACACTTTTGTGCTTGTGTACCAACACAGTACAGGTCTCATGGTGACTTTCCAACTTTACAGGTGGAGAGACATCCATGCATTATTTCAGGCGTGAATGGACACCTGAGTAGAACCACTGACATTCAGATAGCCAGCTTGATAGCTTCGAGCACATGAAAAAATCCAAAGTCCCTGTCGGGATTCGAACCCACAGCTGTGAAAGGAAAATGGTTTTAAGTTTCAACCTTAATCACTCATCCAGTCAGACCTCCCTTATTTTCAACAGTAAATAATGAATAAAAAAGAAGTAAATTTACCTGACTCATTGTTGTAACACAGGACAGCAGCTATATCATATTGGGTACAGTTTGAAAGGTTTGTCCTATTTAAGTGAGTACAATCTAATATTGAATTCTCATCTCCCGTGCAGTTGAAACCCCCAAGCCAGTATGGTCCACGTTTCTCCTATAAAAAATACCATGTTAACAACTTTCACACATGTAAATATCTATTAGCCAATGCATACTAGATTAAGTTTCTATGAGAGCAAAAGCTGTTGGTAAGACAGCTTGCTTGACAATTCTCAGCACTTTATAGTAAAACAAGAGCCTGGATAAGGGCCATGATTCTGTCTATATCAATGTTAGAGTTACGGCCTTGGACAGTGACCTCCTATTATGTTCTCAAATAAGTGTGGGAAGT